AAAAGTGGGCAAATGATATGAACAGACACTTCACTAAAGAAGACTTCTATGCAGCCAACAGACACATGAAAAAATGCTCATCATCACTGGTCATCAGAGAAATACAAATCAAAACCACAATGAGATACCATCTCACATCAGTTGGAATGGTGATCATTAAAAAGTCAGGAAACAACAGGTGCTGGAGAGGATGTGGAGAAATAGGAACACTTTTACACAGTTGGTGGGAGTGTAAATTAGTTCAACCATTGTGGAAGACACTGTGGTGATTCCTCAAGGATCTAGAACGAGAAACACCATTTGACCCAGCAATCCCATTACTGGGTATATACCCAAAGGATTATAAATCATGCTACTATAAGACACATGCACACATATATTTATTGTATATATACCCGAAGGATTATAAATCATGCTACTATAAAGACACATGGACACATACATTTATCGTGGCAGTATTCACAATAGCAAAGACTTGGAACCAACTCAAATGTCCGTCAATGATAGACTGGATTAAGAAAATGCGACACATATACACCATGGAATGCTATGCAGCCATAAAAAAGGATGAGTTTGTGTCCTTTGCAGGGACACAGATGAAGCTGGAAACCATCATTCTCAGCAAACTATCACAAGGACAGAAAACCAAACACCGCATGCTCTCACTCATAGGTGGGAATTGAACAATGAGATCACTTGGACACAGGGTGGGGAACGTCACACACAGAGGCCTGATGGAGCGTGGGGGCCTGGGGGAGGGATAGCATTAGGAGAAATACCTAATGTAAATGATGAGTTGATGGGTGCAGCAAACCAACATGACACATGTATACCTATGTATCAAACCTACACATTGTGCACATGTACCCTAGAACTTAAAGTATAATTAAAATAAAATAAAATAAAATCCTTTTGTTATGTCTTACACAGACCATTCATGACATGCTTGGATTTTCTGGTTTGACCTGAGCATCCCTGTTTCTTAAACAGCCAGTCATTTTACTCTAGGACTAAATTTACCATACAAGAGTCTTTCTCCTATGAAATTATTTCTCTTCAAGCTTTCTTACAAAGACACTCCCTCTTTATTTTTATAACTTATTTTTTACATCTCTCTTGTTTCCTGTTACCTTGTTTTATATATGACCTTTAAATAAGCTTTGAATTAGACAAAAATTGTTCTTCTCTTTTAAAATAACGCACCTTTTCTTTAAGAAAGAATGTTTTCCTACAAATATATTTTTATTGGAAAATACCCAAATAATGAAATATCTATTGTTTAATTTAACTTTAGATTCTAAATTATGACAGGTTTGTCTACAAGTATTTATCCCGTTACATTTACCTAATCATTTTATTTTAATTGTTTACCTGGATTATTTATGAAAACTGTAATAATCATCATTTAAAGTTCTGGAACCACCATTGTAAGATTATAGCTGAGACAGTGAAAAAGATTGAACTTCACTGACTCCATCTTGCTTTTAACCTCCTTTTAAGTTTGTCTTTGTTTATTCCTGGGCATAAGCTGAACTAACTTTGGGAGGAACTTAGTTTATAATTTAGCTTTGAAACAAAGACAATAACAGTCCTTTGCCAAAACAAACCTCACTGCCTGTGGACTAGACTGCCTAAAGTCACAAGATCAGAAGTTATAGTAATCTTACTAAATTCAAAATGTAGCTATTTTTATTAAACCAACATCATTGTCAAATTATTAAATATTACACAAGTAAAGATCATTCCGTTTTTGGCTGGGTTTATAGTTCTGTAACCCCTATGTCAAATTTTGTCACCTTATAGTATTTGGTAGGGATAAGCATAAAATTACTTGATTAATAAATGCAAACAAATATGTATGCTGGCAATTCTTAAAACATTTCTAGTATTATTTTACCAATAATTTTAAAGTTAGCTTACTTATTAAAGGTTTTACTTAAGTGACATAAAGTTGAAAACACATTTGACTAGTCTTTTCTCTTGTCCTGATAAAGTATTGATTCAAGTGCTTTTATTTTTCTTTAAACCAATTAATTAGAGCTCTTTTATATATTTTCAGTAGTGAAACACTGTGTCCACAACACATAAATACATAGAGGTATTAGGGATGCTGAAAGAAGTACATCTTATAGATTCATAAAAACCCTTGGGTTTTTTTTTCCTATCTTAGACATTCAGATTCTTGATAACCTGTTTCACAACCCTAGGCAGTTATCAGCTAAATAGCTTTAAGTTTACATATTAAAGGAAGCAACTCAGGTGAAAAATCTAGTAGCAAAACTTACATTATAAGGTATGGAGAATAAAAGTCTGGTATGCTAGAGGAAGATTAACAATGGATGTCAAATAAAACATAAAATTATAAAAATCTATTATAGGATTGTATAAGGAGACTAATTTTATTTACATAGGGACTACCTATCTTTCAACTGGATCTCTGAGCTTTGGGCAGAGCCCACACTGAATCCTGGCTTTCCAAAAATGGAGGATTATCCTGAGGCTAGCCCATGGGATGTTTTTACAGTGCACTTAATTTTTTTTTAAAATAAAGACATTTCTAAGTGTCTAAATACATTCTTCTTTACAAACCCAAGAGCATTCTCTGTTGTAGTAATTATTTTAGACAATAAATCAGGTGACAGAATACAAAATCAAGCAGTCTAAAAGCTGAAACAAACTTGTCTGTTTACACTCTTGTGGTTCCATAAGGAAAAACAGGTTTCTCCCCCAAAGGGAGTCTGGCACCTTCTCTGTTTTCGTTAAAGAACCCTGGGCTATTATATACTATTTGAGGTCTCTCATGCAGCAGAGGGTTCAAGAGAAAGGAGAGACAGCAGAAGTAAATGAAGAAAACAGGATTCAGTCAACCGTGAAGAAAAAAACTTTTGCTAAAAAAAGGACAAGGTCCTAGGGGACAAAACAAACAAACAAACATACAAAAACAAAAACAAAAAAACAACCAAAAACACGAAGGCCTTTTAAATACAAACACACACACATACACATATACACATACATCTTCAATGTTAGCTTTTAATTAAGCTTACTTTAATCATTGAGCTCCTTAAGAAAAACTTTTTAAATCTTATTACCATATTTTAGCTAGGACAAATTACAATTATTTCAGAAGTACCAAGTATCAAACCAGAATGGGCTTTATTTAAGAAACAAAACCCAGGCTGTCATGGTGGAAAAAAGAAGGCAGGACCTTAGCTATCAAACTGCAGTGTAGGGTGACAGCCATTGCTTTCAGTTTGGCCTGGATAGCAAAAAGATGGCCTTGTTATGTAAATAAAGACTCTTAAGTAGTCAAAGTAAAAAAATCTTTCCTTTTTTTATTTTTCCTTTGGCTGTTTTTCTCCCCCTATCATACCACTTTTTTAGTGGGAACATAGCCACTTCAGAGGCCTTGTTCCCCATAATTCTGGAAATTTCCTTTTGATTTGATCAAGTCAGATAGAGTTGATCAAACCCAATGGGAAAAAGACTGAAACAATAACAAAAACAGAAACAACAATAAGAAAACAGTTAAACAAAACAAATGATGGCACAACTTATACGGTCACTGAGTGCTCTAATGGCAAAGAGAAATTAATGCCAGCTGGAACTGGGTATTAATCTTTTTTTTTTTTTTTTTTTTTTTTTGAGACGTAGTTTTGCACTTCTTGCCCAGGCTGGAGTGCAATAGCGCGATCTCAGCTCACTGCAACCTCTGCCTCCCGGGTTCAAGCTATTCTCCTGCCTCAGCCTCCCGGCTGGGACTACAGGCACACACCACCACACCCAGCTAATCTTTTGGTATTTTTTAGTAGAGACAGGGTTTCACCATGTTGTCCAGTCTGGTCTCGAACCCCTGACTTCAGATGATCCCTCTGCCTCGGCCTCCCAAAGTGCTGGGATTACAGGCATGAGCCACTACGCCTGGCCTGGATGTAAATCTTAACTTTAGCCAAGACAAATGCTAATTCAGTTCCTTCCCTAGGGATGGGTCTCAGGCTGTGGACTGCTCTCTACCATCCTAACAAGCAGGAAAAGAAAAAAGCAAACACCTCATCTTCCCTGTTGGAAGCAAGCTCAAACTCCATAAAAGTTACCTGCCTTCCATCATCATGGAAACAGGAAATCTTGCCTTCCTTGTTGAAAGCAAGTAAAACTAAACTCCAAAAAAAAAAAAAAAAAAAAAAAAAAAAAAAGGAGAGAGAGAGAGAGGAGTTGTACAGCAAAATAAACTTTAGATCTTGACCAAATTTTGGGAGATCAGGGACTCTCTGGAGGGGGTGCTCTCAGACCTCAGCAAATTGGCCTATTGGTTTGAGCCATAAAGTTAGCTCATGCTGGTACCAAGCACCAATAGGAGATTTGTCAAAGGTCAGGGGCATCTCCGCTCAGAATCCCTTCATGGTTGCCAAAATGTGAACCCCCAAAACCTGAGGCAGGTCTCAGTTAATCTAGAAAGTTTATTTTGCTAAGGCTGAGGATTCATGCCCATGACACAGCCTCAGGAGGTCCTGACGACGTGTGCCGAAGGTGGTAAGAGCACAGTTTGGTTTTATACATTCAAGGAGACATGAGACATCAATCAACATATGCAAGATGAACATTGGTTCGATTTGAAAAGGCAGAACAACTCAAAGCAAAGGGGGGAAAACCCAAAGTGGGCAGGGGGCTTCCAGGTCATGGGTAGTTAAGAGACAAATGGTTGCATTCTTTTGAGTTTCTGATTAGCCTCTCCAAAGGAGGCAATCAGATATGCATTTATCTCAGTGAGCAGAGGGGTGACTTTGAAAGAATAGGCAACAGGTTGGCCCTAAGCAGTTCCCAGCTTGACTTTTCCCTTTAGCTTAGTGATTTGGGGGCCCCAAGTTTTATTTTCCTTTCACAAAGAAAACATATCAATTCAACGTGAGATTCATTTAGTTAGTAGTTTATAAACATTCTGCCTCTATGCTAACATTGCACAGTCCTTTTATATTGTGAATTTTTTCATTCTGTATTCTCAGCTTCCTGTGCTTCCCAGAATTCCATCATCTGACCGCCATCCTAGAAGGCATTCTCATGAGGACCAGGAATTCCGATGCCGATCATCTGATTGTCTTCCTAGAAGGCATTCTCATGAGGACCAAGAATTTCGATGCCGTAGCCACGTGCGGGATTACGGAAAATACTCAGAGGATGGGTCATTCAAGGAGCCACTGGAATCAAAAGGCAGATCCCATTCCAAAACTGAGAAATTTTCGGAGTCCTTTGAACGACAGCTGTGCTTTAGAACCAAACGTTCGGCCTCTTTGGTATGTAGCAGAGCTACTGAATATTTAAGCCACTTTAGAAAAGGAAACCCAAAGGTTTTGTCCTCTTTAACATTGAGGGGAACAAATGTAACTTCTTCATTTACAGCTTAGTAATAAGATCTTTGAAAAATGACATTCAGTTTAACACAACCCAGATTGAATTTTTAAAAATTATTATTTACAATTGAAGACATCTGGTATAGGAAGAGTTCCCGGAACATTTTTCTTACCAAAGTCTTCTAGTTTTTCTTTTTTTTTTTCTTCGAGATAGGGTCTCACTCTGTTAGCCAGGCTGGAGTGCAGTGGCCTGATCATAGCTCACTGCAGCCTCGAATTCCTGGTCTCAAGTGTTCCTCCCACCTCAGCCTCTTGAGTAGCTGGGACTACAGGCATGTGCCACCACGACTGACTAAATTTTAAACTTTTTTTTTCTAGAGACAGGGTCTTGTTATGTTGCCCAGGCTGGTTTCAAACTTCTGGGCTCAAGCAGTGCTCCTGCCTCAGCCTCCCAAAGTGCTAGGATTCCACGTGTGAGTCACCACACTCAGCCCCCTAGTTTCTTGAGCCTACTTTCATCAACCTTATTATAAATAATTGTAACTCATTCTCCTTTTACAATTTGGGGGGAAAAAAACTGCCCCTGTGGCTTCTCTCCTTTCATAGTTAATCCTCTAGCAAATAGTCCATGATGGTGTTTTGTTCTCCTATACTAAAAAAACACAAGAATGACCAAACACTATCTAGTAAGTATCCAGGAATAGGAGTGGGCTAGGTGCTCACGGTGACATCATGGGAGTCTCAGTAAAGTAAAAGGAAGAGACAGACATGAAATGGGGGAAGTATAGAAATATAGCAACTCCAATACTCATGATGCTAAACTTGATAAATAAAGTAATAAACTAAAGATCAAATAAAGTAATAAACTAAAGATCAATTAATGTTTCAACTCTGTAGCATGCTCACTGACTGGCCTTGAGCAAAATGCTTCTTTTTTGTAGGTCTTTGGTTTTTTGTTTAATTTTGCAAAACCGGAATAATAATGGGTTGTTGCCATGTAGTAGACAAAACAAATAACTGAACCTAAGCGTAATGACTCCTGGTTCTGGAGCTAGACTCTGTGAGTCCACTGGTGAAGATACTTGGGTGCTTTGTGTTTCATTGTCCATCTGAGCACAGTGCTGTCTATCTAGAAGATTAACTGTTGAGACTGTCACTGTGCATCTTTGCCTTGCAGGTGACACCTTACTTTTGCTCAGAGTGACCCTGTATCCCTATGGTTTCCCTTCAGTAGGCTGCTTTCTCCACCTGATCAGAAGAGGAACAAGGAAGGGAGAATAGTGGACAGCTGTCGTTTTACTGTATCTAAACCTTATTATTAAGAATTCTTATAATCCCAGCACTTTGGAAGGTTGAGGCCAGGAATTTGAGACCAGCCTGGGCAACATAGTGAAATCCTGTCTCTACGAAAATTAAAAAAAAAAACAAAACTGCCAGCCATGGTGGCCTGTACCTGTATTCCTGACTGCTTGGGAGGCTGAGGTGGGAGGATCTCTTGCACCCAAGTTTGACACTGCAGTCAGCTGTGATTGGAGCCATTGTACTCCAGCCTGGGCAACAGAGCAAGACTCTCAAGAAAAACAAAAAAAAGAATTTCTGTTTTGCTTTTTTTAAAAAAAAACTGTTTGTTTTCATATTGTCTCAGGCTTAGAGAAATGTTGCAAGAATAGGACAAAGAATTCCCATACACCCTTCACCTAGATTACCTCCAAATGTTAACATGTTCATATTTGCCTGCACTATCTCTCCTCTTCCCATCTCCAAACACAGGCACAAGAACTTTCTCTGACATAAACACAATACAATAATTAAATTCAGGAAATTAATACTGATATAATATTGTTATCTCTAATTCATAAACCTTATTTATATTTTTTGCCAGTTGTCCCAATAATATTCTTTATAGTGAAATTTGAAATCATGTGTTGCTACCAATGTTCATGTTCCTGTGGTCTGTTTTACCCTGGAGCACTTTCTCAGTCTTTCCTTGTCTTTCACGACATTAGCTAATATTATTATTATAAGCCCTAGAAGTGTATAAAGTCATTTTGCTTAAAAAAATCTTCATCGTATTATCTCTAAAATATAAAATATGCTTGTTGCATTCATTTTCCATGTTCTTCCTTTTGAGTTCCAAGATACTTAGGGAAGAATTTTCCACTTTTTAAACTCGAAACTCTTTTTCATGGTTATATATAATGAGTAGAAACCTGTTAGGAATTTATAAAAATTTTTAAATTTGCACATTATATAACTAATTTTAATTTCAGTATTTTATATCAGTTTTTAAAGAGTACTTTATAAAGTCTTAATGCAAAATTTGAAATTCAGAACATATACAGATACACTTCAACTTTTCCCTATTTGATAATCTACACACTTTCCTAAGGCTAACTACATTAAAAAGTGTTATTTTTCAGCAAATTTAAAAATGATTTATATCGTCTTTTGTTTGGGGACCAAATGTATACTAATACCTAGATTTAAATTTTACATATTTTGACATCAAAAAGAACCAGAAACTGTTTCTGTGTCCTGATCATGAAAAGCAATGTTAAATTCTTTCATTTTGATATTTAAAAATTCAGTCGGCTTATTTTGATAATTTTCACATTTAGCGTCTAAGTGATGTGATAAAATGTATTTCCAAGCATTATTTACAAGCATTTCTCGGATGGTCTTTAATCATCACTCTATTTTCTCTTTCTTATACCATTTTGATAAGAGACCTTAATGACTGCATTAACATTGTAGAGTGGCTGACACCACTGTGTTAAACAGATAGGTGCCTCAATAACTTTCAGCCAGCACGGCTGAGCACGCATGACCTTGCTCATGTGACCACCACTCACCACTGCTTAACTTCACCTGATAAACACTAAGGGGTTTCCCAACACTTCTAGTTTGAATAGGAAAGGAGTAATGGTTTTGCTTGTTTATTTTTTAAAATAGAAGCATAAATAGATACCGTGGCCACATTTATTAATGCCATCGTTTTGATAATTCCTTTGAAAGGCACCCTCTGGCCATACAAACTAAAGAAGCAACCCCCCACCCTCCAGTAGGTCCCTATCACTCTGTTTACAGTTATCATTGCACTTATCACTGTGGATTATTTTTTCACTTCCTTTTAGGCTTATTGATAACTGTCTGTATCCCTCCACCTAGGTGTAATATCTAGGAAGTAGGTCTATTTAGTGTTATATCTCCTGATCCTACAACAACAGTATATGTTCAGTTAATCAGTGAATAATGTGGAATCCTGGGGACACATGTTGGGGATTGTTAATCTGGTTGGGTGTCATTCCTTAACACTTCATTCTTCCCACAGTCCTCACATTGAAATTTAGTGAAAACTCTACTATTAATGTAATTTAAGGGACTGAACACAGAGCGCTAAGAATCATTCCATGTGTGATCTCACTTGGCACTTTCCTTTTCAAAAAGCACCAGGGGACTGTTAATTTCATCATGCCATGAAATCATGCCCCTCAGTATGTTCAGAGGCAAAGAGTCACAGGCGTGTGCGGGTTATACTTCCTTCCCAGACCATCTGCTGATGCCCAATCCCCTCTGTTTTCTTTGTGACCAAAACCTTTAGCAACATCCTTAGGTTTATGCTAATGTATTTCTGGAAACCAAGAGGTGGAAGTCTGCTAAACCATCAAGGCTTTCTCTGTGTCTGATTATTAAGAGAAATGTGGAGTGTTGTCAGCTGTTTGCGCATTTTTACCTGTTTCTGCTCTTTCCCTTTCAGGGACCTGAAAGCAGAAAGGAGAGAAATGAAACAGAATGCCTGAGGGTGGAGATAAAATCCCGAAAGAAAGCAGAGGAAGAAAGGAGCTCTAGGAAAGAAGAACATGGAGAAGCACACATGGCTCCCCTGTTTGAAAAAGGGCCTGAATAATACTCTGCTTCCGCCTCATGACATCAGATGCTAGTTTTGGTTTTTTTCTTTGAGCCCTAATTCACCATTTCAGGATGTGGATGGGGGCAGGGTTGGGGGTAAAAACAGCTATAAAAAGCAACTGCAGATGCTGAGTGACTGCAGTGGGCAGGGTATGTAGCTGCTCCAAGATGACTTGCATCATACCCCAATTACTGCTGGCATCTTAGTTGAGAGTATATTCTGCTTGGTTGCCTTTTTATGGGAATAAAGAGAATAAAAGGTATTTTAATAGAATAAAGAAAAATTTGAAAACGTAATACAAGGTATTTAAAGAGCCACCCACGTAGCTTCACCAACCCTTCTTACACATCAACTCACAAATCATCTTAAATAAAAGTCATTGGTATGACTCTTGAGTTTACTTTCTTGTCAGAAGTAATTATGTAAGTATGTCTAATGGCCATCATTTAAGGAGAACTGGTAATTAACCTGCCAAGTACTATGCTGGATGCTTTAATGCATTATGTAAAATAAGCTTCACTACTCTGAGGTGGGACCTTGTGTTAGTCAGGATTCTCCGGAGAGAAAGAACCAATAGGATAGAGATAAAGATAGATAGATAGATAGATGGATAGATATATAGATAGATAGATAGATAGATGGATAGATATATAGATAGATAGATAGATGATAGATAGAGGTAGAGATAAATAGGGATAGAGATATATGAGAGGGAATTTATTAGGGGAATTGGCTTACATGATTATGGAGGCAGAGAAATCCCAACATAAACTGTCTCCAAGCCGGAGAACCAAGGAAGCCAGTAGTGTGGCTCAGTTCAAGTTCAAAAGCCTCAGAACCGGGGAAGCCAGTAGGGTGGCTTAGCCCAAGTTTGAAAGCCTCAGAACCAGGGAAGCTGATGATATCACTTTCAGTCCTAGGTTGAAGGTAGGGTAGGGGAAAGTCACTGGTGCAAGTCCCTGGCTCCAAAGGCCACACAGAACCTGTAGTTCTAATATCCAAGGCAGGAAAAAAGGGCATCCTAGCTTTGAGGGAGAGAGGGGAGAGAGAGAGAGAGAAAATTCCCCTTTCCTCTGCCTTTTTTGTCTATCCAGGTCTTCAACCAATTGGATAGTGCCTGCCCACATTGGGTGAGGAGGATCTTCCTTATTCAGTCCACTGATTCAAATGCCGATCTTTTCCAGAATCACTTTAACAGACATATCTGTGCAGAAAGAAATAGTGCTTTACCAGCTGTCTGGGTGCCCCTTAATCAAGTCAAGCTGGCACCTAACATTAACCATCACAGACCTATTTTTTTCTTCACTTTCTACATGAGGAAACAAATTTTAGAGAGTTCTGTAGCTTGCTGGCAGAGTTAGGTGGCAGAGTTAGGGCCAGAGACAAGTTCATTCTGATGCCAGAGCTTATGGTCCTCACGTGAGGCAGGATGTTCATTTTCCTCTAGTAGCAGGTTCTGAGACAGTCTGTATGTGATGTTCATGTGAATGAGTGGATGTGAGCAAGAACAGCAGGAGCGGGGTAGGTTGCAGTTTTGATTACTTGGGTGAAGACTGATTCTCTGAGGTCAGATTTATGCACTGGGTTTTAACTTTGTGGAACCATACTCTATCAGTAATTGTTTTCCCCTGAAAGCAAAGACACTGGAGTTCTCTAATGCTTTCTCTGTTTATTCCTCATCTGTCTTAGACCTTCAAATGCCCAAGGGCAGCTACATACTCCGTTTTGTGAAGAGGAAAATCCCCCAAAAGTACTACTCATAACTAATACTGTAATTGATTGCTTGTGCAAGCACTGACTTTGACTTAGTAGAAATAAAAAGGAAAAGGGGTGTGTTAGTTCGTTCTCACACTGCTATGAAGAACTACCCAAGACTGGGTAACTTATAAAGAAAAGAGGTTTGACTCACAGTTCTGCATGGCTGGGAAGGCCTCAGAAAACTTACAATCATGACAGAAGGTGAAGGGGAAGCAAAGACCTTTCTTCACATGGTATTAGGAAAGAGAGAGCTAGCAGGAACAGGAAAAACTGCTTTATAAAATCATCAGATTGCATGAGAGCTCATTATCATAAGAACAGCTCCAACCCCACGTTTCCCTTCTGCACTGCCCTAGCAGAGGTTCTCCATGAGGGCTTCACCTCTACAGCACACCTCTGCCTGCACATCCAGGTGTTTCCATACATCTTCTGAAATCTAGGCAGAGGTTCCCAAACCTCAATTCTTGTCTTCTGTGCACCCGCAGTACCAATCCCACATGGAAGCTGCCAAGAGTTGGGGCTTGCCCCTTCTGAAGCAACAGCCTGAGCTGTACCTTGGTCCCTTTTAGCCACGACTGGAGTGGCCGGGACACAGGGCACCAAATCCAAGGCTGCACACATCAGGGGAGCCCTGGACCTGGCCCAGGAAACCATTTTTCCCTCTTAGGCCTCTGGGTCTGTGATGGGAGGGTCTGCTGTGAAAGTCTCTGACATGCCTGGGAGACATTTTCCCCATCGTCTTGGTAATTAACATTCTGTTCCTTGTTACTTTTGCAAATTTCTCTAGCCAACTTGAATTTCTCCCCAGGAAATGGATTTTTCTTTTTTATCATATCGTCAGGCTACATATTTTCCAAACGTTTATGCTCTACTTCCCTTTTAAACATAAGTTCCAATTTCAGATACTCTCTCTCAAGTTCAAAGTTCCACAGATCTCTAGGGCAGGGGCAAAATGCCACCAGTTGCTCTGCTAAAGCATAGCAAAAGTGACCTTTGCTCCAATTTCCAAGAAGTTCTGCATCTCCATCTGAGACCACCTCAGCCTGGACTTCATTGTCTACATTACTAACAGCATTTTGGTCAAAACCATCTGACAAGTTTCTATTAAGTTCCAAACTTTCCCACATTTTCCTGTCTTCTTCTGAGCCCTCCAAACTGTTCCAACCTCTGTCAGTTACCCAGTTTCAAAGTCACTTCCACATTTTCTGGTTCCTGTATCCCAGTACCCCACTCTGCAGTACCAGTTTCCTGTATTCGTTCATTCTCACACTGTTATAAAGAGCTGCCTGAGGCCAGATGCAGTGGCTCATGCCTGTAATCCCAGCACTTTGGGAGGCCAAGGCAGGTGGATCACCTGAAGTCAGGAGTTTGAGACCAGCCTGGCCAACAAGGTGAAACTCCATCTCTAATAAAAATACAAAAAATTAGCCAGGCATGGTGGTAGGTGCTGTAGTCCCAGCTATTCGAGAGGCTGAGTCAGGATAATTGCTTATACCTGGGAGGTGGAGGTTGCAGTGGGCTGAGATTGCACCACTGCACTCCAGCCTGGGAGACAGAGCAAGATTCCACTGGAAAAAAAAAAAAAAAAGAACTGCCTAAGACTTGGTAATTTATATAGAAAAGAGGTTTAATCAACTCACAGTTCCACATGGCTGGGGAGGGTTCAAGAAACTTACAATCATGGCAGAAGCTCAAGGGGAAGCAAGGACCTTCTTCACATGGCGGCAGGAAAGAGAGCGCTTGCAAGAGCAGGGAAAATTGCTCTATAAAACCATCAAATCTTGTGAGAACTCATTCACTATCATGAGAACAGCACTGGGGAAAACTTCCCCCATGATCCAATCATCTTCTGCATGCAAACACTGCTCACTGTAGCCTCAACCTCCCAGGCTCAAGTGATCCTCCCACCCTAGCTGCCCTAGTAGCTGGGACCACAGTCACACACTGCCACAGCCAGCTAATTTAAAAAAAATTACTTGTAAGGGTTGCGGAGAGGTTTCCCCATGTTGCCCAGGTTGTTTTGAAACTCCTGGGTTCAAGAGATCTTCCTGCTTTGGCCTCTCCAACGTGCTGGGATTACAGGTGTGAGCCCCCATGCCTGACAGAATAAAAATTTTAAACATGTTTGTTTACCTTCTTGGAGATAAATATGGTTAATATCTTGGTGTATATACTTCCAGAATGCTATTTACGTGTACATGTGTACATGAACAGAAGTGCACATTAAACACTTTTTCAGTCATAATCTTCAGTTAAGAATATATCATTAACATCTCTTTAATCAATAAAATGGTTTATTACATAATTTTAAATAGTCTTTAAGTGGAGTCAAGTCACTTTTTTTTTTTTGAGACGGAGTTTCATTCTGTCACCCAGGCTGGAGTGCAGTGGTGTGATCTCGGCTCACTGCAAGCTCCGCCTCCTGGGTTCACGCCATTCGCCTGCCTCAGCCTCTGGAGTAGCTGGGACTATAGGCGCCGCCACCACGCCCGGCTAATTTCTTTACATTTTTTTTAGTAGAGACGGGGTTTCACTGTGTTAGCCAGGATGTTCTCGATCTCCTGACCTCGTCATACGCCCACCTCAGCCTCTCTAAGTGCTGGGATTACAGGCGTGAGCCACCGCGCCCGGCTGTCACGTCTATCATAAAAACTTTCCCTCATAACATACCAAGAGATACCATTCTTGATAGCCAACAGTAACCGACTTAGCTATCTTCCTTTTCACAGAAAATTTCTTGAAGAGTTATCTACATTTCCCCTCAGTTTTCAGTCTGCTGCAATCTGACTTCTATCCTTACCCTTTACAGAAACCATTCTCTTCAAAGTCACCCTTGAGCCCTTTACTGTCAAATTCCGTGAAAACGTCTCTCGACTTTGACTTTCTAGCAGCATCAGACATTGCTGATTACTCCCTCCCTCTTGAAGCCCCCTCTCTGGCTGGCTGTTGAGACTTATATTCTTGCGGTTTTCCTTGTACCTCTCCCATCACTCCTGGTTGTCTTTGGTGCTTCGGTGAGAGATCTATACACCTTAAATATGGATTTTCTTCAGAGCTCTGCCTAAGCACTTGTCTCAGTCACCTTATCTTCCCTGGGCAATCTCAAACATGTCCAGGGGATCTGTCACCTATGTGCTGATGGCTCCCAAATCTGTCCCTGTGGTGCAGACTCTCTCCTGAGCAGCACACTTACACATAAAAGCATCCCTTGGACATATTAGTTACAGGTTTCACAGACATCTCAACTCATCTTTTGAAAGTAAACTGTTCTTTCTTGCCCTGTGTGTTCTCCTGCCCCTCTTTCTGTGTTCCCTATCTCAGTGACTGGTAGCATCATTTAACAGTTGCTCGTAGAAGAACTTGCCTGGGTTTGAAGCCACTTGTACTCCTCCACTTCTCCCATTCTCCATCTAATTCATCATCAACTTGTGCCTATTTTGCCTCTGAATATCACTTGGATCTACCCAATTCCCTCCATTCTCATTGCTACTACCTGATTTCAGGCCCTTTTTATCTTGCTTTGTTTCTTACAATAGAAATAATAATATTTTAGATATATTTGGTTAAATCAGATATATTGCGAACATTAATTTTTATCTTTTTTCCCTTATGTAAATGTGGTTACTAGAA